TGACATTTACCGTATTTTTCGCTCTATTAGACACACCAGACCATAAGACGCACCTAGTTTTTGGAGGAGGAAAACAAGAAAAAAAATATTCTGAATCTCAGAAGCCAGAACAACAAGAGGGATCGCTGCGCAGTGAAAGCAGCAATCCCTCTTGCTGTTCTGGCTTCTGGGATAGCTGCACAGCCTGCATCCGCTCCATAAGACGCACAAACATTTCCCGTTACTTTTTAGGATGTAAAAAGTGAGTCTTATAGAGCAAAAAATACGGTAATGGAATTACCCCATGACTTCAAAGCGTGATGTTTCCAGAGCCTTAGAGTTAAGAGAATACAGGCAAGGAAAGGCCATATTGTGTTCCATTGAGTGTCCATCAAGGCTGCGAACAGCGGCAGTGCTGTGGCGTCCAGTCCGCTTCTACTGCACCAATCTGCTTCTCCCAGTTACAGCAGAACATCTTGAGCAGCAGTGTGCCTGTGTGGAAGGAATCTCAGCCATGCAGTAAAACTCTCGTACAACACCTTCTTCTATTCTACAAAGCTTTATTGTAAAGCAGCAAAACAACAAGTTAGCCAGGAGGAAGCGAAGGCATGATTCTTCCCCTGTAGCAGCCAAAACAGAAAGTAAAAGCATTCACATAACAAAGCACAATAGCCATAAGCAAAAACACACACCCCCAGTGACAGGACATCATTTCCCTTGAGCTGTTAACCCTGTAAGCTCTGGGTATACTCACATATTGTTCAACACTGTAACCAACCAGATATTCACAACAGAAAATATCATCTGGGGACCACAACTGAGGACCTGCCAAGCTGTCAACATCTGTGGACAAGACAAGCCAGGGAGCCAAGTCACATGCACCAGTGATGGGTGACACTAATAATGATATTAATAATAATAATAATTTGACCAAACTGTGGGAGGCAGTGGAAGGCAGGAGTGCCTGGCGTGCTCTGGTCCATGGGGTCATGAAGAGTCGGACATGACTAAACGATTAAACAACAACAACATGCCACTCATCTCCTCTGGGCTTCAGAGTTCCTCCTACCTTCAGAGTCCTTCTGGGATGAGGCTACCATGGGTCAGGTAGAGTGGTAGAGTGGGAAGGGATGCCAAGGGCCATCTAGTCCAACCCCAGACAATGCCAGGATCCTGCCCACAGCCAGCCCTGACTGGGCTCCAAAATCCGACCATCTTCTTACCAGCCAGATGCACAGACCCCTTGCAATTCTGCCAGGGCTGGAGAAAGGGGAGAGAGAGAGATGTTTTGCTCTCTGTCCCTCAGGACATGGATATGAGAGCCACGCCATGCAGCCCTGTCAATATCTCAAGGGCCATCACAGGGAGGAGGGAGGAAGCTTGTTTTCTCCTGCTCCTGAAGCCCTCAGGACCTGAAGCCGTGAATTCAAGTTACAAGAAAGGAGATTCCGGTACTTGGAGGTTTTTGAGCAGAGGTTGGATGGCCATCTGCCATGGATGCTTTAGCTGACATTCCTGCATTGCAGGGGGTTGGACTAGATGACCCTCAGGGTCCCTCCCAACTCTACAATTCTATGATCCTATAATTTAAAGTGCATCCAATGACAATTTAAAGCACATGATATCCCCCATATGATCCTGGGCATCGTAGCTTCCCTCTCACAGACCTACAGTTCCCAGAACAATTCCCAGAATCGTTTGGGGAAAGACACCTGCTTTTTAGAACAGGGAGGAGAATCTGCTGCTCACTTCCCCCAATTTCCTAGGAAGCAGCAGAGGGAAGATTAAGTGCCTCTGATAGGATGACTTGACAGAGCAGGATGTATAAAATATTGCTCCAAAAATCAGGTGTCTCCCCTCTCTCTGCCTAGTGGGCCCATGGGGTTTCAGACTCTCTCCTTTGGAGAACTGAGACTTGGCGGAGACTGTCATGGCTTTAAGAAAGAGTAGAATCCTTTCCACAGGGACTTGTCCTTCACAGCAGGGCAGCCAGCCTTCCCAAGTTGGATTCCAGACTCCCCTCCTCCTCCTCCTCCTCCTCCTCCTCCTCCTCCTCCTTCCCTCACCCCTTGCTCAAAGCTTCTCTTTTCCTGCCACCTCACATCCACTTATCCTGGCCCCCTTCCAGATCCCCCATCTCTGTTCACATCACAGGACAAGGGAGAAGGACTTCTCTTGCATTTCCAGTTAGTCCCTCAGGGGCCTTGAATTGTTTCTTAATGGCCCTTGCAACTTGTATTTCTCCCTTCAAAACCCAAACAATCCCAAATCCTACCATTTATTAATTTCCAGGGTTTAGTGGGGGTATCCTCCCTAAATCTATATTTTTTAAAATGTGTAATAGGATAACTGAAGTGATGATATTAGAATTCCCAAAGGAATGTCAAGCAGGGAGGGAGAGGGGAAGAGAGAGTGGAATTCTGGGGGAGAGAGAAGATTGGAGGAGGCTTGGAAAGCCAGTTTGAATGTTGGAGGGGGAGGCAGTTGAGAGTCGGTTGAGAGTGGTGGGTTCTAGAAGGGGGCACTTGGTGGGGGACCTGAAGCTGGGCAGGTCAGCTATTCAGCTTAGGATCAATAGTCCAGTCGCCATCGCCCGGGGCATGTGGCCGTTCCATGAGAAGAGAAGAGGGGCTTTGCCAGCTGCCCAGGAACTGAATTTTCCCCATTTAGGGGGGTCATGGAGCTAAGGCTTGGCTTATACTGCTAAGGCCCAGAGGCCTCGCACCACCCCCTCCAGTTACCTGGAAAGCTGCTTTACACACCTGGACTACACCTGATTATCGTCTTCCCAAGCAACTTAAAAATGCAATGCTGGTGGTCAGTGAAAGAGGTTTAAAGACTTCTCAAGGCAAATCTGAAAGAAATGTAGTAGAAACAATTGGGAAAGGCTGGCTTGAGAGTGCTCCAATTGGAGAACAGCCTTTACTGAAGGTGTCAAGGACTTTGAAGACGCTCAAACTCAGGACGAAAGAGAGAAACGAGCTAAGAGGAAGGCATGTTCGGAAAATCCTCACCATGAATGACTCACGCCAGGAAACTGTGGAAGGACGTGTGGACCCAGAATTGGCCTCCACAGTCCATTATGGACTCACTGTTAAGATCATGTTCATGGAAGACAATCTTACTTGGCTACGTGTGATGCCCCTGCCCTGACCTTGCTCCCCAAGAAAGCTTGGCTCCCCCACTTCCGGGCGAGACCATCTCCTTTCTGCTCTCATGCGGGACGGTTCTTCTCCCATTCTCTGTTGACACTCAATTTGGAGGGTGTTCTTCCTCTTTCCTGTTCATTTTATGAGAGGCTTTGGCAGCAGACACAGCAGTGCAGACAGAGGATCCTGGAAGAAAGAAGGTATCTTTGAAGCAGGAGAGAACTCAACACTAAGGGCTGCTTTGAGGGAAGAATCACTGGACATGTGAATGTGCTGTCACAGGCCATGAGAGGCACCAAAAGAGCATCTCTGACTGCATGGCTTTAGAAGAGGATGAGGCGACTGAATGGAGGAGAGGGTGGTCAAAGGCTACTAGTCGTGATGGAAATACTTCAGGATAGCCTTTGGAGGGGCATTTCCTCCTACCTGATCTTATAAGCTCCCCCCACTTGGCCTCCGTACGGGCGTCTGGGCTCCGTCCCGGCTGGCCTAGCACAGAAGCAGCAGCCAAAGTCTCCTCCCTCTCAGAAATAACTCAAGAAACTGTTTTAATGGGAGGAAACTTTGGCTGCTGCTTCTGCGCCAAACCGAGCCGGGAAGGAGCCATGCCCGTACGGAGAAGGGCCACTTCTTCTTTTGTCTGAAGGAAGGAATGACGGGGCGGGGGGGGATTCTGGGACTGATCTCCACAGAACCATTCCCCACCAGAGCCAGATTACCCAATGGCGGTAGGATATATGTGGGAAATGGATTCCCCATGGAATTAACATACCACGATTTCCAGTGATATTTCTTTCTGCTGTGGCCTTCCTTTCTGAGAACCTGTGATACAGAAAGGAAAATAAAAACAGAGGAAGTTACCAACCAGTAATTCACAACAGAAAATATTGTCTGGGGACCACAGCTGAGGACCTGCCAAGCTATCAACATCTGTGGACAAGGCAAGCCAGGGAGCCAAACCGGGCCGGGAAGGAGCCATGCCCGTACAGAGAAGGGGCAGCGGGGAAGCGTCGCGAGGGACGTCAGCCGGGAACCACTGGGATGTTGTCTGGTTCTTCATCCCGGGAGCCGGAGCTAGAGCCTCATCCCTGGAGGCGTGGCCCAGTTTTATTTGCGGGGGGCCTTCAGCAGCAGCCACAGTGGTGCACAAGCGATATCCTGCAAGAAAGAAGGAATCTTTGAGGCAGGGGAGACCTGGATGCCACGCGCTGCTTCGAGGGAAGAATCCCTGAACATGTGAATGGTCTGTCACAGACCGAACGCCAGGGAAGGTGCTTCAAAAAGCCGTTGCAGAAAGTCCCAGGTGGGCAGAGGGCTCTTGGGCTTGAATCCTGTTTGTGGCCAGCAACGTACCGAAGGGGGGCAGGGGGGCGAGCTGCCCAGGGTGCCATCCTGAACAGGGGTGACATTTCAGGACCCCTTCCCCGACCGTGACCCCCAAACCCGCAAATCGCGAGCGGCAAAGCATAGATCAGATAAAGCTATAAAATCATGCCTAGCCAGTGCACCACTCAGGAGAATCACGCTTAGGCAGGGTTCTATGCAGAAAGACAGTCCTTTAGGTTGCTCGTGGGTGAAGGACATACTCTTTGCACAGGCTCAGAGGGCCGCTGGGGAGTTTTGGGTTTCCAAGCATAAAGACCCCCACAAAAAGGTGGAGGAGATCTGAGCAGAGTGTCTTGCCCACTGCACCACAACAAAATGCAGCTTGAATGTAGGAAAAGTCACATGCCATGCCCCCCTCTCTCCAGGTGCCAAAGCCCCTACCTCCACCACTGTTTGTGACTTTCCCACTGGGTGGCCCCAGGGAGAAGAGGAGGCTGGACCAGACGGGCCCTTGGCCTGATCCCGCAGGCCCTTCTGGTGTGTTTCCTAAGGCCCCCGTCCTCCCCCCTGTCCCATTACCTCAGGGGCGAGAGGCTGTTGTCTGGGCTCCAGTCCCTCCTGGAGGAATGCGGCGGTTCCACGGCTGAACTTCTCCCTCGCTGCAAAACAGAGACATCAAAAGGTGCCTATCTCCCAGCCACGCTAGCCCCAGTCTGGGGCAGGAGGGTGGGGGACCTGGGAAGGGGTATTTCCTCCTACCTGATCTTATCAGGGCTCCCCACTTCTCCACCGTACAGGCGTCCGACCGGCCTAGCACAGAAGCAATAGCCAAAGTCTCCTCCCTCTCAGAAATCACCCGAGAAGCTGTCTTAATGGGAGGAAGCTTTGGCTGATGCTTCTGTGCCAAACCGGGCCGGGATGGAGCCATGCCCGTACAGAGAAGGGGCAGTGGGGACACACCGCAAGGGACGACAGCCGGGAACCGCCGGGATGTTGTTCGGTTCTTCATTCCAGGAGCCGGTGCTGGAGCCTCATCCCTGGAGGCGTGGCCCTGTGGAGGAAGAAGGACATCACATGAGAATGGAAGCCACAGGTGGGGAGAGTGTTTCTAGGACTCCCAAAACATGTTTCACAAGGATCCCTTCATTCCCTCTGCCCTCGTACCTGATGTTCGCCACGTCTCTCCAGGGATTTGGCCAGAACAAAATACGTGTTGGGGAAAGGCTCCCACACTGCAAAGAAAAAAGAAACAGGAGCAGGCGCCTGGCTCCCTGCCATGCTAGCCCCAGTCTGGGCCATGAGGGTGGGGGACAAGGGAAGGAAGCATCCCTAAAATATGGGGCACTCAATTGGCATTTCCACTTACCTGAGCTGGGGGCCTTTCCCCCTTTGTTCTGGCCGCTCTCGCCTAAGGAAGAAACAAGCTCAGTTAGTATGATTAGTTAGAGGCGTTCCAGATAAATATATAGGTAATAACAGGTATCTCTTTTATTTTAAGTTTTTTTATGGTAACTGAGACCAACCGTTGAGGTTGGCTAGAATCTCAAGAAGGACATTTGCATGGGATGCAGAAATTAGAGAATAAGATGGGCTAAGAAGGCAAGAGAAAGTCTTTTGTCTGAAGCAGGGAATGATCGGGGGGGGGGGGGGTGATTCTGGGATTGATTTCCACAGAACCATTCCCCACCAGAGCCAGATTATTCAATGGACAGAGCAGGCACCAGCCTATGGTGGTGGGGAATATGTGGGAAATGGATTCCCCATGGAATTAACTTACCACAATTTCCAGTGATATTTCTTTCTGCTGCAGCCTTCCTTTTTGAGAAGCTGTGAGACAGAAAGCAAAATAAAAACAGAGGAAGTTACCAACCAGTAATTCACAACAGAAAATATCATCTGGGGACCACAGCTGAGGACCTGCCAAGCTATCAACATCTGTGGACAAAGCAAGCCAGCGAGCCAAACCGGGCCGGGAAGGAGCCATGCCCATACGGAGAAGGGGCAGTGGGGATGCGCCGCGAGGGACGTCAGCCGGGAACCGCCGGGATGTTGTCCGGTTCTTCATCCCGGGAGCCGGAGCTGGAGCCTCATCCATGGAGGCATGGCCTTGTGGAGGAAGAGGGACATCCTATGAGAATGGGCTGTGAGGGGCCAAAAACTACTGACAGAACGTCAACTCAGACGCACTTTCACCCACCCCAGCCGTATCTGGCACATGTGGGGAATGGCTTCCCCATGGAATCAACATACCACATCTTCCATGGCCGTCACCCCTTTGTCCATTTGGGCCCTGCGGTACAGTAGCCTCTTAGGACCTGGGAGACAGAAAGGAAGATACACGTCACCACTGGCTGCCAATGATCGCTGCTCCTGCCTGGGCACCTGACCCCTGGCTTGGAAGGAGGGGGGCGAGGGGGTGGTGCAAGACCGGCCTGCAACACCCCAACCCAGCCCCGTTTCACGCAGGTCGGGGCCACAACTTTCCTGCACCTGTGGGGAATGGATTCCCCATGGAATTAACATACCACAATTTCCAAAGATTGGGCCATTCTTTGTGCCACAGCAGCCTCCTTCTTGCCCCGGCACCATAGCAGAGTCTTAGGACCTAGGAAAGGAAAATAAAAACAGAGGAAGAGGTTACAGGTGGGAAATGTCTGGGAATCCCAAAGTCTAAACTCAGAAACCCTGGCTTATGTCTCGCAGGAGGACTCAGGATCCAGCCAGGACCTCAACCTTTCTCTGTTCCCTCCCTGTGTCATATTAAAGATTGTAAGCCTCTCGGGGCAGGCACTTTTTTTTACCTGCAGTTGGTAAGATAACAGGGAAACACTTCCCCTGCCACACAAGGTCACAACATACCTCCAGATTTTGCTGGGTTTCCCGGCACCGTTTGGCTGCTGCTGGGCTGGTTGCGGTTTCCCCAAACCACGGCCCTGCAAAGGAACAAGGACATTGTACTGTCTAGGGGACAGGGGTCCCGTGGGCCATCCCCAATGATTTCCTTCAGGGGCACATCGCCCTCAATATTTTCTCCCCCGCCAGTCTGCCTTCCCAGCTCCCTCCCTCCCTCCCTCTTCCACATCCCTCCTTCTCCTGTTTGGCACAGAGCAGATGGGCAGCAGCCCATGGGCAGGCAAGCCAGTGGGGCAGGGCCCTCCTGCGGTGGAGACATAGTGCCCCCGGGGGGAGCAGCCCCCAAACGTCTGTAGGGACAGCCTGATCGCTGGTGAGGGTGTCTGGCCAGCTGATCCAGGGATGGAGGGGGACAGAACAAGTTCCCCTGCCATGCTGCCCATGCCCACGTCACCACTGGCTGCCAACCTTCGTTGCTCCTGCCTGGGCACATAATGGCCCAACCCCTGGCTTGGAAGGAGAGGGCAAGGGGCTGGGGCGAGACAGGCCTGCTCCCCCCCCCCACTCCAGCACTCAATTGGCATTTCCCCCTACCTGAACTCTGAGCCTTTCCACACTTTGCCTCCCTACGGGGGTCTTTGTTCTTCCCCCTGTCCCAGTACCTCTGGGGTGAGAGGCCTTTGTCTGGGCTCCAGTCCCTCCCGGGACCTTCTCCTCGCTGCAAAACAAATGGAGACATCAGCAGGCGCCTGGCTCCCAGCCACGCTAGCCCCAGTCTGGGGCAGGAGGGGGGGACCTGGGAAGGGGGCATTTCCTCCTACCTGATCTTATCAGCTGCCCCCAAAAAACTCCTCCGTACGGGCGTCTGGGCTCCGTCCCGACCGGCCTGGCACAGAGGCAGCAGCCAAAGTCTCCTCCAGCTCCGGAATAACTCTGGAGGTGCTTTTGATGGGTGGAAACCTTGGCTGCTGCTTCTGCGCCAAGTAGAGACGGGAAGGAGCCATGCAGGCAAGGAGAACGGACGGAGGGGGAGGCAGGCGAGGGTCAGGGGCTGGGAACCGCCAAGATGGTCTCTCGTTCTTCATCCCGGGAGCAGGCGCTGCAGCCTCATCCCTGGAGGTGTGGCCCTGTAGACGAAGAAGGACATCATATGCGAATGGGCCTCTGATGGGCCAAAAACTATGGAAGGACCCCTTTGTTCCCTCTGCCCCAGTACCTGAGGGTCGTCACATCTCTCCAGGGATTTGACCAGAACACAGTATATGTTGGGGAAAGGCTCCCTCCCTGCAAAGAAAACGGAGACATCAGCAGGCTCCTAGCTCCCAGCCACACTAGCCCCAGTCTTGGGCATGAGGGTGGGGGACCTGGGAAGGGGCATTTCCTCCTACCTGATCTTATCAGGGCTCCCCACTTCTCCACCATACGGGCGTCCGACCGGCCTAGCACAGAAGCAGCAGCCAAAGTCTCCTCCCTCTCAGAAATCACCCGAGAAGCTGTTTTAATGGGAGGAAACTTTGGCTCCTCTTTCTGCGCCAAACAGGGCCGGGAAGGAGCCATGCCCACACGGAGAAGGGGCAGTGGGAAGAGGTGCGAGGGTTGTCAGCTGGGAACTGCTGGGATGTTCTCTCGCCCTTCATCCTGGGAGCTGGAGCCTCATCCCTGGAGGCCTGGCCCTGTGGAGGAAGCAGGATACAGTATGTGAGCCAAAGCGCACTAGAGACCTTTCCCTTGAAACCAAAGGCTGTGTACCCACCATACCTTTAGGGCTCATCCCCACTTCCCCTTGGGTCGTGTGCCCAGCAATCTCAGGCGTGTTAACAGATTTGCCATTTGCTAGACCCCCCCAGCCTGGTTTGCAAAAGTCAGCCCAGGAATTCCTTGTCTGGCACAGTTGTGCAGCCTGTACTTTCATTGATATCCCAATTTATCAAAATTCTACCTTTTTCGTATTTCTGGGGTTTGGGGGGGGGGGTCTCCGGCAAATGTATAACACTATTTTGCCTGCGCAGTTTTTAATGCCACTATTGATGTGAAGCGATGCATGATTTATAAAGTAAATAAAGCTTATTTTTAAAGTTCCCATGTTGACGCCTGATTCTTTCTTAAGTGGGGCAAAGGGAGGGAAGGCAGCTAGCTTCATAGCTGGACTTGCTCAAAACAAGGTTTTGCAGCCTGATTCCTATCCTTTTACGTTTGCTGTCAAGGATGGGATTTTAAAACTCTGTTTTTTAAGGACCAGGTGGCAACACTTCTTCAGGTAGACAGGACCCACACTTTGAATGGTGCTCGCAATCATACTGGGAGCCACCGTAGATCCTTTAGGACCAGTGTTCTGTGGTCCTGCCAGCTGCTCCCAGTCTAGCTGTTGCTACATCTGCTGGCTCTTCTCAGGTATGCCTGAGCCAATGTGATCTGAGGGGAATCCCTTCCTGTCCTCCAATATATGGTCATCTGTTGGAGCTTGAGCAGGACCAAACCCCACCTCCCAGGCGGCCCCTTGAAGGCAAGGCAAAATCCTGGGACACTCAACACCCAACGGTTCTCCATTTCCAAGGCACGGGGTCCCGCTCCAACTCAAGAACCGGGCATCTGAGCTCCTCCTACCTTCCTGGTTCCTCCTCATGACTGAGTTCCTAGGACTCCACGGATCTCTGCTAATGGGAGCTGTTCCCAGAGCCCCTAACAAACTACAGTTCCCAGGATCATGGGGGAGGGAAGACATCTGCTTTTTAGAACAGGCGCTTCAGGTTACAGACTCCACTAACCAAGAAATAGTACCTCGGGTTAAGAAGTTTGCTTCAGGATGAGAACAGAAATTGCGCGGTGGCTGTGCGGCAGCAGCGGGAGGCCCCATTAGCTAAAGTGGTACCCCAGGTTAAGAACAGTTTTAGGTTAAGAATGGACCTCCAGAATGAATAAAGTCCTTAACCCAAGGTACCACTGTACTACTACTACTACTACTACTACTACTACTAATAATAATAATAATAGTTATTTGTACCCCGCCCATCTGCCTGGGTTGCCCCAGCCACTCTGAGGTAGATGGAGCAATATAGGGTCTAGATCCCCTTCCTGTGTTTCTGTTTGGGAGGGGCGACAGCTCAGTGGCAGAGCATCCTCTGAGCACCCAGAAGGGCCTTGATTCAACTCCCTGCTTGGCTTCAGGTGTGGGGATGAGAAGTCCCAGCTTGCAGGTTCAATCCCCATCTGGCACAGCTGCATCTTCCTGCATTGCAGGGGGTTGGACTAGATGATCCTCAAGGTCCCTTCCACAATTCTTTGATTCTAAGGATGCAAGAACCACTTGTGCACTCGCTGTGCTAACCCAACACAGGCACACAGAGAGACAGATTGAAGCTCGGCCATGGAGTGTTCAGTCGCCAGAGGTGAATATGCAGGAAAGCGCTTGGCCCTTTGCCTGGCAGAAGACCTCACCCACTGGGCTGCCTAGACAGCTGCCTCAGGAGCCAGGACCCGGGTCCTGGTAGCTCCAGACTGTTTCCCTCTGGCCTGGCTGGCAGCAGCTCACCAGGAGTTCGGTTCAGAGTTTCCCAAGCCTCACCTGGAGATGCTGAGGACTGACCCTATGGCCTTCCACAGGCACTGAGCTATGGCCTAAAAAGGCCCCTGGGTGTGTCAATCCTTGGTCTATCTAGCCCAGACTAGGAGCAACTGCTCCTGCCACCTTTTGGAGAACCTGACGCCCAGTGTAAATTAATAACGCAGAGTCTTCTTCAGTAAAAGAATCAAAACTTTACTGAATTAAAAATAAACTTGTTTGCAGATAACAGCACCGTGAACAGAAGATTGAACTAGCTTCAGAGCATACACAGAGTTACTGAGTCACACAGAGGCCTTGCACACCAACAGTCTCCATTGAGCACAGGCTTCCCAGAGCTCAGGCTCCATCACACACTCTGAGTCTGCCTGCAAGCAGATACTGTACTTATACAGAGAAGGAGTCATCCTCAAGATGAGTCACAGTGATGCAGCGTGCTAAATGATTCTGCAGCTTTGCGTGGACAGGCGGAGTCCCCAGATCCCGCGCGGTCCCCCCGTCATGTGGAATAACGACTCAAGACAACGTGCTATGGGATTAAATTGGCCACAACTTTATTAAATTTCAAATGTGGGTAGACTTTGGCTCAGGCATTGGGCATTCTCCCTCCCCAGTCCCCAGCCGGGGACCTAGGGAGCATCAGGGTTATCCAGTGTTTGTGGGGGGGGGGGATGGGCCGGCTCTGGAGAACATATGTTCAAGCAGAGATAGCCGCCCCCGTTACGCCGCCGCCGCCGCAGGGGAGAGCAATGACGACCTCTCGGCATACGGTCAAAGCCTCCCTTCAGAAACCCCTTTAACGGGGAACCCTGGTATCGCTGCCGCAAAGAGGAAGATGGACTAAAGGATTCCGCCCAAGGCCTGACACCGCCAAAGTTGTGACGTTTTGCTACGGGAAAGGCGAAACCTGCCAATGCAGGGAAATTCCTTTCCGGCCCTTTAACAGCGACCTTATCGTAGCAGCGCCCGCATACCTGTAAAGAAAAGTTAACCTGCAAAACCTATGAAGAAAAGTTAACCTGCAAAGGAAGACATTAACTGAGGGTGGGTAGGGTGGGAGAAGCTCTGGAGCCAAGTGAGGATTCCCAGGTAAGATCCTCCCTCTATTGTGTGGGCAGGTAATCCCTCCCCTACCTGGCCTGGTCTCCTTGGCAACACTTCCCCCAGGTGGGATTGGACAACTGACTGAGGTAGGCAGGGACCTCCAGGTATCCCACCTGAGGGAAGGCAAAGCCAAGCCTATGCTGATGGGGCTGCTCCAGATCTAGGGCTGCGCGCGTCCACGCAAAGGGCGCCCCCCGTTTTAAGCGGGGAGCGGTCAATCCAGCACGTCACAACATTTCTAGACTCCTTTACTGCTTCTGCTCTCAAATACCTTTGTCACATGACAGAACCATTGCCAGGCAGTTGACAGCTTGGATGAGCAGCCCAAGGCCCACAACCCAATTCTCTGCATCGGGAATTGGCAAAAAGATTTCGTAGGATTGATCCCAAATGAGTAATACTTTATGAATATTTCATCAACCCCATACGTTGATATCAGAAGAGCAACACAGTGAGCTTGGTTCTGCTCAGGGCCGTCTTAAGTAGATATGGCACCATGATGCAAAGATCCCTCCGGCGTCCCCCCTCCCTGTTTCCCAGAGTTGCCGAGATTTGCGGCGCTGCTTCAGCGAGGCGGGCGAGGGCAGCTGATGGTGAGAGGTGCCGCGTCTAGCCTCCTCCTCTTCCCTGGAGCCCTCCAGAACGTGGTGCCCTGGCGCCTGCGCCACTTGCCTCTATGGGCAAGATGCCCCTGGTTTTGCTTATTCTTAATGGGGAGAGTTCTTGGTGTTTAGCACAACTGTGGGGCTGTGAAAATTTCACTCTGTGTGTTTCGTTCCCTTTTTGTTAGTTATTCCCCTTGCAGAAGAAGAAGCAGCGGGTAGGGCTCTTCATCTCCCTGCCCATCCCTTTCCCCACAGAAGCAGCCTGAAGGTAGCAATTGTGAGTCACAATAATAGGGAAAGGTACATGCTGGCTTCAGTGGGGCAGATCTAACCACCTAGAATGTATTCGGAAAATATATGTGCAGAAGATGCCCTCCTGTTGCTGATGGCTAGTGTGCCCTGGTGCCCATGCAGAACAGGAAGAAGGAAACAGGTCCTGGAACAGATTTTTCTTTACTCTCTTCCTGCTCCTGGTGGTTCAGCCCTTAAATGAGTGATGGGAAGCAGTCTCTCTTCAGGGTGAGGCATTTATCCCTGCAGGATGCAACTTAGTATATTTGTATGAGATTGTATGGGGGAAATACGGAATAACAGATACAAATTTGCTTATAATGTATATAGGAAGGGCAGTGTAAGCGATGGAAGTCAATCTATGAAATTTTATTATTGAGATATTTGTAGAAGAAATTTGGAAGAAATTCTTCTAATTTTTCTTCTTATTTTTTCTTTTTCTTATTACTTTTCTTTGTTTTCTCTTCCCCCCTTTTTCTATATGTGTGCTTATCTGAAAAATATATGTATGTATGTATTTGTATGTATTTTGCTTGTATTTTGTAATAATTATGTTAAATAAAATTTAATAAAAATTTTAAAAAGGAATTTCTTTTCTTTCTTTTCTCTTTTTTGTTCTTTTTTATATATGTGTGCTTATCTGAAAAATATATGTATGTATGTATTTTGCTTGTATTTTTTAATAATTATGTTAAATAAATTTTAATAAAAAAATTTCAAAAAAGGAAACAGATCCTGGAACAGATTTTTCTTTACTTTCTTCCTGCTCCTGGTGGTCAAAACCTTAGAGTTCTAAAGGAGTGATGGGAAGCAGTCTTTCTTCAGGGTGAGGCATTTATCCATGCAGGATGCAACTTACTATATTTGTATGAGATTGTATTCCAGTCCGCCCTGAGTGCTCACTGGAAGGACAGATCCTGAAGCTGAGGCTCCAATACTTTGGCCACCTCATGAGAAGAGAAGACTCCCTGGAAAAGACCCTGATGTTGGGAAAGATGGAGGGCACAAGGAGAAGGGGACAACAGAGGACGAGATGGTGGGACAGTGTTCTCGAAGCTACCAGCATGAGTTTGACCAAACTGCGGGAGGCAGTGGAAGACAGGAGTGTCTGGCGTGCTCTGGTCCATGGGGTCCCGAAGAGTCGGACACAACTAAACGACTAAACAACAACATGAGATTGTATGGGGAAAATATGGAATAACAGATACAAATTTGCTTAAAATGTATATAGGAAGTGCAGCCTTTTTAGGAGGGGAAAAGTGCCTCTTATAGAGCGAAAAATACGGTACTTAACCCGAGGTACCACTGTATTTCGGTTTTTCATCATGTTCTGTTAAGCACCTTCGTAAAATATTTTTGAAGAGTGGGATATAAATTTATAAAAGGCAAAATACCTTCCCTACAACAGAGCTTTTCTGGACTGCATGGGGCTTACTTTGTGCCCAATATTCCTCATTGGTGGGGCAAAGGATGGGCCACGTCGAAATAACACCAACCTGGACATTGAAGGGAGTGCATCTACAGCAGCAGTTGTGGGAGACCAGACACAAGGACTTCCCATGATTTTTTTTAAAAAATAAACATAACATAACATGTCTAGCATTTAATAAACTATTCCATTGAATCAGGGATGCTCAAAACAAAACAACAACAAAAAACTTTCATATATCCAAGGGGCATGAGACAAAAACGAATGGGGGTTCCACCCTGAAACAATATTCAGCACCTACATTTGTGCTCTGGGCGGGGGGGGGGATCACCATCCACACCATATTCTGGGGGGACTAAAAAAACTACCCCTTCAGACCGAGAGCAGTGTCATATGTAGGCTGCATGATATGCTAAAACAAACATTTTCAAAGATATTAATATAGAATTTGCATGGAAAGGCAGGGCTTTGAGGAAAGGGGTGGGACTTCCAATGAAAAGACAGTGGGGCACAGGTGCCTGCCTTCTCTTCTTCTCATCTGCAAGTCAGAAAAAAGTTCACACTGTGAAAAAGAAAGTCCAGGTATGGCCAGTTAATCCATTTCAAAGCTGGAAGCTTTCAATGTGGACTGTGCTAGATATAAGGTGCAGAGAACAGGTTTCTGATGAGTTGGAATAATAACGAGAGCCCCTTGGCTTTTGGAATTAGGCCAAATGTCAGACTCAACTTCTCAAAATCCTTATTTTCTATCCAGTTTTTTTAAAATTTGACCTATCCCTACAAGCAAGTTAACAGGAAACTTGGGACAGTAGAATTTAACGTTAGGAACCCTAGACAAAGCATTATATAATTGGTGGAATAGCATAGCCCAAGCCAGATGTGATAGCCAGACATTTCCGAGCACAATTCAAAGTGTTGGTGCTGACCTTTAAAGCCCTAAACGGCCTCGGTCCTATATACCTGAAGGAGCGTCTCCACCCCCATCGTTCTGCCCAGACACTGAGGTCCAGCGCCGAGGGCCTTCTGGCGGTTCCCTCGCTGCGAGAAGCCAAGTTACAGGGAACCAGGCAGAGGGCCTTCTCGGTGGTGGCACCCGCCCTGTGGAACGCCCTCCCACCAGATGTCAAAGAGAACGACAACTACCAGATTTTTAGATGACACCTGAATGCAGCCCTGTTTAGGGAAGCTTTTAATGTTTGATGCATTACTGTATTTTAATATTGTGTTGGAAGCCGCCCAGAGTGGCTGGGGAAACCCAGCCAGATGGGTGGGGTATAAATAATAAATTATTATTATTATTATTATTATTATTATTATTATTACAGTGGTACCTTGGGTTACATACGCTTCAGGTTACAGACTCCGCTAACCCAGAAATAGTGCTTCAAGTTAAGAACTTTGCTTCAGGATGAGAACAGAAATTATGCTCTGGCGGCACGGCAGCAGCAGGAGGCCCCATTGGCTAAAGTGGTGCTTCAGGTTAAGAACGGACTTCCGGAACGAATTAAGTACTTAACCCGAGGTACCACTGTATTACTATTATTATTAGACTTTAATCTGCGAAACCAACAACAGGGAAGGCAAAGGCATTTTATGCTTCTCAAGAATGTTAAGTTTCGAAATATCAAACGACGCCTGGGTGATTAGTTTTATTAACGCGCGCGATTTATGTAACAAAGATACAAACTGTACAAAAGAAAAGGAGGAGCATCAATTGGTGCTGAACGGAGCAGGGTAAGGAAAGAACACAGGACCTAACATCTGCATTGCTATACACACCCATCGCCAGTCCTTTCCACCCGACTCTGGGCACAAATGGCCCCTTTTATGGAAGATTTGCAGTCTTTAGAGTAGCTCTGCCTCCTTGCCTAGTATTGCCTGCAGCATCACACCAGCAAGACAGCAGCAAAGGCCTTGAAGGTTAGCACGCCAAATTACGACGTGGTTCTGCGCCACTTGCCCAGTGCAGGATGGCATCTTAACAGCTGCAGTTGCAGCAACGTTTAGGTATGCCACCGAAGGAGCCTGCCAAGCTATCAGTTCAGTCAAAGAAATGACAAGATCAGAAGGGAACTTGTGCAGTATAAATAATTAGAAAAACATACAACTCAAACTACAAAAATATCTTTAATTTTGTTGTCCTGCAAGCCTGGAATGCTGCAAGCTAGGACGGTTCCCCCTTTTCCCCCCACATGAGACGATCTTTAAGTTGCTCCAAGAAATGTTGATACAAGGGTAGGCTTCATGAATTTTCGGACCTGAAATGAAACAAAATTACAAATCTTTCACAAAGCTTTGTTTTCCAACTATGCCACAACCCCCCAAAATCACTTGGCTACGGGGCGATTTATAACATTATGTCAAGTTACTAACTAAAAGAACATCTGTAGTCAATATAGCCATGCAATGATTACTATTTGGGTGGAAATATTTTGTTGAAATGCAAAAGATGGTAAGAAATTCTCTTAAATTTAAACCAGGGGAAGACGCACAAACTAGTAATTCTTGTATTTAAAAAATGGAGACATTCTCTTTCATTTTCTCAGTGCGCTCACATGTAGTTTATTATTATTAATTATTATTATTTTAATTGCAATTTATAAGCTGCTTTCCGGCAAGACCTTATTGGTCACAGAACATCTGAAAAAAGCTATATAATCAGCTTCGCTGGCCCTTTCCTCCTCTCTGCTCATTGCTAAAGGAAAATTTAATACTGTCGAACCTCCGTTTACGTAACCCTCTGGTTACGTAAACTTCAGGATGCGTGTGCGGCAAACTCGGAAATATTTTACTGGGTTTTGCCACACACACATGCGCAGAAGCAGTCTGTGTACGCACAGAAGCGGTCCTCAGGTTGTGGAAACCTCAGGATCCGACCGAACCTCCAGAACGGATCCCGTCCGCAACTGGAGGTAACACTGTAGATATAAGGATTTTTTTAAAAAAAAAAACCCAAAACCTCTCTTATTTGCCTATGCCAGTTTGTCAACACTCTCTTCCCCACGGTTTTCATGCATGTTGTATTTAAATATAACTCTCAGCAAAAAAACCAGCAACAAGTGTTTCCCTCTTCCTTTTTAGTTCAGTGAACCTCAGCTATTCCAGTCTGCTTGGGGCCAACTGATGAACAGGATTCAGTGCAGTTGCAACTTTCGCGAGGGCTAAATTCCCAGTAGCGGCACATCAAGGGAAAATCGCACAAAGTCAGAACGGCCCCTGGAGCTCTTGAGCTCTTGCAAGATCGGGGCTGTCCGAGATCTCTTGCAACCCGCCCAGAGCCCAGTAAGCAAGGCAGAGCGCTTTAAAGCACCTTCTCTGGTGGGAAAACCCTTCACAGAAAGAGTTTAAAGTCCTCTGCTTTGCTTAGCAAGCTCTAGGACAGTCGCACAAGAGTTTTGGGGGCTTCCCTGAGGGTAGGCAAGGACTTCCTTTCTGTTTGTTTGTTTGTGTGTTTGATTGTTTATTAGGGGGCAATCCTCATAAAGCTATGATTGAACAAGTAAAACCTGCGTGGGTTGCAATCCTGCTGTATCAGGATTGCTTATCTAGATGTAATATAAAAAATTAGAAACTACTTGAAAGTACCAAATAGGCCTAGGATTAAATTAGGATCTAATTAAATGAATGGGATTTAGAACAGTAAGAAAAGTGAATAAGTTACATTATAATTGGAAATATTTTTGTCTAATGATGATATTGGAAAGCTGTTACATCCAGATACAAGGAAACTCAGAAGGGAGGAACTAGAGGAAGTAAATTAATATGTATATAAGGTTGGATTTTTAAAGAATTAAGTTTGTTTTTATTGTTCATTCGTTTATTGTTTTCTTCTTTGATGTACCTTTGTCTTTGTTTTTGTTTGTTATTCTGTTATGTGATATTTGTTATAATTGTGGAAAACCTAATTTTTTCATTTTTTAAAAAAGGATTGCTTATCTAGAAGGCTTAACCGTAAGCCACTCTTTGCACCTGCCAAAGCATGGAAAGAGCACGGAAAAATAAAATAAATGAATGGTTTACCACCATCCAGTCATTCCACTCATTAACCCAGCTGCAATTAATATTCACGCAAGCAGGATGGGTCTAAAGGCCTTACAAGCAGCTTTTGTTAATCTGATCCTGCCACTAAATGAGAGGAACTTTAAGTTTTTCGGCTTATTGGCTCCACCTGCTGGTGAATCTTTGAAGAGTTTCTAGCAATACTGATTTATTTCTCATATTTCCTCCAAGGACCTCAAGGTGACATATGTGTCTGTGACGGAAAGCTCGGGCAGACCTGAGTCTGGTGGTGCAGTGCAGTGGATTTCTGCCAGAGCAGTATAGCTGGCAGAGTGCTGAGCTGCAACCTCACTAGCTGCGGGGACAGCTAGCCAGAAGGGGGTGAAAGACAGCACTCAGTGAGAGAGAGAGAGAGAGAGAGAGAGAAAAGCAGTTGAGAACCGGGCTCCTGGCATTCAGCTGGACAAAGGTTTAGCCCCTGAGCTGTGTGTGTAACCCAGGGGAAAGGTCTACAGCCAGAGAAAGAGATTAGTGTCTTTTGACATCTTTCCGCAGGGCCTGCAAGACAAAGCTGTTCCGCATGGCCTTTGGTTTGGACTCGGTCTGACCCTTATGTTTCCCTCCCCTTACGGTCTTGATTTATCAGCTATTTTAAAATGAGGCTGCATTTTAAATTGCATTTTAACCTGTATTTTAAATTGTGGTTTTTTTATCCCTCTCTTTTCCCCCTATAATGTTTTTATTGTGATTTTATTTTATTGGTGTTAGCTGCCCTGAGCCCGGCTCTGGCCGGGGAGGGCAGGGTATAAATAAAATTATGTATTATTATTATTATTATTATTATTTTGAGAGTATGCAGACAAGTGAGAAATAGGTAGCTGAATTTGAGACAGGAGAAGTGGAGCTATGAGGGAAGATGCTACTTGGGTCTCAGTTCAGTAAACAGGGAACAGAACTTCTGATGGGAGAAGTATAAACCCAAAATAATTTAAGAGGGGTGTGGTGATCCCCTGGTCTCAGAAGTGAGATTTATAGAAGGTTGGGAAACTGACAAAAAGAACAGCCTTACCTCAGAACCCAAGTATTAAGACTTAAGCCAGAGCTTTCCAAACTTTTCAAGTTGGTGACACACTTTTTGGACATGCATCATTTCGCGACGCAGTAATTCAGTTTTGCATCATTTTGTGACGTAGTAATTTAGTTTTACTAGCAAACTGGAGGTTAAACTAACTCCTTTCCAGCCCCGAGAGGAGCACGGGGAGCGTTCATGTGACACACCTACACACTGCAGCTGACACAGTAACGTGCCGCGACAGTTTTAAAAGCTCTGACTTTAATACCTCAAGGTTTACTTTAAAGAACTGAAGGAAATATAAGCTGCATGCTTACCCTCTTGTTTAGAAGCCTGCATATATATGCGTAAGTGTGTTTACTGTTTCTTGAAATAATTCTATCTCCTGACACTTCTTTTGTTTTACCAATTTTGTTCTTAAAATAAAACCTTTTATCCGTTTAACTCTTCATAAGTCTCCCAGTGCCAGGGTTTTCTTTAAAGAAGCAAAATAGTAAAGTAGGGCATGCCTCATTTTATCCTCAGTGGAGACTCAGAGTGGGCGTGAAAAGATTAAAGAACCCAAGGAAACTCTACATTTTTCTTACCTGCTTCCTTTCATTTGAGTGAAGAGGACAACACATTCTTTATTCAAGAGATTACGTAGGTTGTACACGTTCCCTACAATTAAACAGAGTGATTCCATTATAGGACAAGTCTACCATTTTATAAATGCAAAAATGAGATGGTTTTCATTTCACTTGGATATCGGTGGGGCATGCATCCAAAATGGACCTGCTTCCTAAATATCACCACTTTAACAGTGTGCTGTCCAAAGCTTAAAGGACACTGCAGAAGTCTTTGGGTCAAATTAAAAAAGATCTAGTACAAGGGCTCTTGATCCATCTGCACCCCCTTTTTTTGCCAAACACTTCCCTGTGCCTTACCAAATTACATTTCATTCTGATTGGCACATTAGGGGCTACAGTGGAAATGGAGTGAGTTGTGGGGGGGGGGGGTCCTATTATGTGACTAGAGCTCCACACACAGTTCTTTGGATACAAGTGTTTTTACTCAAGTTATTATTACTATTATTTATTAAATCTGTATACTGCCCTTCAGGGATGCAGGTGGTGCTGTGGGTTAAAGCACAGAGCCTAGGAATTGCCGATCAGAAGGTCGGTGGTTTGAATCCCCGCAACGGGAGCTCAACCCTGCTCCTGCCAACCTAGCAGTTCGAAAGCACGTCAAAGTGCAAGTAGATAAATAGGTACAGCTCCGGCGGCAAGGCAAACGGCGTTTCTGTGCGCTGCTCTGGTTCGCCAGAAGCAGCTTAGTCATGCTGGCCACATGACCCAGAAGCTGTACGCCGGCTCCCTTGGCCAATAAAGCGAGATGCACGTCACAATCCCAGAGTCGGCCACGACTGGACCTAATGGTTGGGGGTCCCTTTACCTTTACCTATACTGCCCTTCATCCCAAGATCACAAGGTGGTTCCCAACATAAAAATACAAAACTATGTTTCCTAAGTACCACTTCCTCCATTGTATCCAAGTGCAGAACATTTTATACTGAATTCATATAATCAATTGCAAAAGTGTCAGCATTAACTGTAAAAATAGCTAGCCCCACACCTGCTGGTCTCACAGCCTCCCAAAAGGGCCACATCAACCCAGTTTAAACAGCTTGGGATATGGGGGGGGGGGCAAGGTCTTCTCATCAGGTTAGATGCTTCACAGCGGACTGCCTTACTTCTCCTTCAAAAGGCAGAGAGGCAGCGGAATGGGAATGATGGGGAGGCTTCTCAAAAGTAACAGGAGAGGAAACACGGCTGATTCTTCCTCTGGTCTCCTTCCAGGTGTTGTGCAAAGAAGTAAAGGAAAGGTGCATTTTTCCAGTGCAGGGACACCCAATGTTGCTCTACGCTTTGCAGAAGGCCCAGAAGGAATAGCGGGAAGAAATGCCGAACTACTCTCGATTCCTCTCTTGCTTCTTCAAAGGAGGATGTGAAGTGCCCCTTAGTCATGCAGTCAGACCAGGGGCGTACAAAGTAGGGGGAGGGCCGCCCCGGGTACCAGTCTGGATGTGTGTGTGAGAGACAAGATGGCTTCTGCCTCCCCCCAGCTGTAGAGTGGCCGAGGGCACACACAATCAGTATGGGTGCCGCTTGCGTGACATCCGTACCGGCTGCCACTCACATGGCGACCGTATGGGCTGCTGTGCATGCGCACTCCATATAGACGTCGCACATGCGCCACCAGGCGGTTTGCCCCGCCCCTCGGCGTCCCGCCCCGGGTGCCAAAGAGGGTTCCTCCGCCACTGAGTCAGACACAACGTATGCCCCAACATTGCTCAAGAAAACAGGATCATCTCCTTCCATAGGCACTTATTCTCCCCCTTCTGCATTCACCTTCACCTTAGCCCTTCCCCCTCTCGGAAACGCTCATTATTTGGCAGATGATCGGTACGCTTACCCGGCGGGATAAAAAAATAGTCTCCGGCAGTCAGACGGTAATACTGGTCGTACAGCATCAAAAGGAGCTTTCCGCAAGAAATGTGAAAAACCTTCAGAAATGAAAGCCATAAAACGTTATTTCACTTTTCGTCTCAAAACTTGTATAAATAAAGTATCATCAGGCTGTTAAAAGCAAGAAGATCCAGCTTTTAAAAGCACAACAGTTTATCCACCCAAACAATGGTTTTGGATACTTTTGGTGCTGTGCATGCCTGGGCGCTACTGAAGGTGGTTGAAGGGAACCAATATCCTGGGCAATTTCCTACGACAGACCTTTCCACCGCCACTACTCGGCACAGAATCAATACACTGGGGAGGTAATCCAATCTCTGTACAGCTTTACCTGCTGGCATTGCATTATGAGAGAAAATACGTTTTCTTTTAACGAAAATGCAAGCTGCCCTTGCTTCAAAGGGGAAATCCATAAAGTAATGAATTATTAACTCAGCAGCAGAAGCTTATGGCGATGGGAAATACACCATGTATTGCAAACAGTGTGATGGATTCATTAACATGTACAGTCATTTTTGCCTTGTTAATGAAAGAGATGAGGGGGCAGAGTTATCTCTGCCACAACCCCATCTGGAAACTGCTCCAATAATTTTCCTTGTTGCATTAAAAAGGGGGGGGGGCGGTCTACCACAGGAAGCCATCTGACTTAGCAGTGCTCTTATGCACTTCTTAACAGAACATCTTGAACTAGCAATCTTAGAACTAAAATGTATTATTTTTGTGTTTCTTAAGATAGTGATGGTTTTGGCACATATACACTGACAAAGTTCTATTGGTGTACTCTGAAGTGACTCTGATCGTTTGCAGTTGTTTTTTTCCTCTGTAATTGTGTAACTGTTACATGCGATACAACAACAAACTAAAATCCAGAGTTCTATTTTTCACAAATTAAAAAATATATTTTCCATCTTTTATAATATGCAAGGCATAGTGCAAGATTCAATGTAGCATGAACAAGAACCCACTCAAAAATGGGACTTCTAATTTTTCTGCTCCCCCACCCTCCAGAGCCCTGCACAACCAAAAACCTGTTTCAGAGGATTGAGGGACCCTCTGGAGATTTGTGGGGCACATGGGGGGCAGGAAGGGCAAAAAAAGAGAAACCAGAAATCCCATTGCACAGGTAGATTTCTGCTGCACAAGCAGTCAGACGTCACTCGATGTCAGCCATAGAATTTTTGCAAATGCATTTCAGATTTCAACTGTAAAACGTTGACTGTGGCTAGCCTGTAAATTCCAGTGACAATCTGTTTTCTGTTTAAAAGTGATGGGCACTCGGACTAGATAAAAATGAAAAGAAAAAGATTCCACAGTTCTGCATTCAGGTAAAGGGATGGTGGATCAACACAGGAAATTGATACCCTTTGTCAGGGTATCTCAAACTTCTGAGGCACATTATTTCCCGATTTCAATAAAAGCCCAATTCTTTTTTCCATGAAACCTGCTGTTTAGCTCAAACATGCCTCTTGACTGGAAGGAAGCCCAAAGCAATGACTCATGCAGAGATGGGGCAAACAGCCTCCTCCAAGGTATGTAATTTTGTTGTGTCTGCAGTAGGATCAGCAAAAATATAATGGGCAGCCTCCTCAGTAAGCAGGTGTTTGGGGCTTATAGGATTGTTTAATCATTTAAGATTTCATAATACATACACGTATCCCAGCACACACTTTGCCCTGCAGAGCCTTGAGATACTTTACCACAGAAATGCTCATGTCATGTAGATCAGTGGTGTCCAAACTCTTTTCCAGAGGGCCAGATTTGATGGAGTGAAGGGCCGTGAGGGCCGACTAAAGGGCCAACCAAAGTTGTTAACCTTTTTTTAGGATTGAAGTTATTGAGCGTTTTTTTAAGAATGGAACTTTTTTTAGGGCTGAAGTTGTTGATCAGATTAGGCCCCCAAATTAGGCCCCCAAAACGGACTATGGACATGCCTGATATAGATTGACAACTGAGAAAAAACAGTTGCTCCATCTCACAAAACTGGTAAAATACCAATATGATAGCATACATAGGAAAAACGTGAGAACGTAACAATTCCATGATGCAAAAACATATACAATTTCTAGTATACTCACCAGTGTATCTGTGTGGGAATACTGAAATCCCTTTTCTTTTAATGGCTTTAGTATCAGTTTGCCGGCAGAAAAGAAAGGGGTATTCAGCTGTTTGTATATGGACACCGTCTCATCATTGATGAAAAGCAAATGTGAATTACTCCTGCTCACACAGTCTGTTACAAAACCAGAAAATAAATACATGACTTAATATTCATAGGAGATGACAAGGTCAGGTAATGTACACTGCAATATAACATGTGCTATCTTAGTCGTATGCAAAACCTGCTTACTTCATCAAAAGGTAATCGTGCAAAATTCTGCGGCGCGCTGAAAGTTTGCATTGCAGTCAATGGCAAAATGAGAGAGTTGTAATATTTAAGGTAAGTAGACTGTATTCAAAAAGTGAAAGATGAAAAGCAAAGGAATGATACAAGCAGCTCTGCATGCGGGTGGGGGAGGGGAGTATATGCAGGATCTTGAAAGGCCACAGAACAAGTTTTCAATATACTTGCTATTCATACCTTTAAACCTGTGTCACATTACTCACCTAGAAGAACCTCATTATTGGTTTCTTTATCAAACACAACAGCTGGCTGAGAAAGACTTTTTAAGGAAACAGTTGAGTCATCGGGTACGTCTGCAAAACAGAAGTACAAACAGAATTGGATCCCAGGTCATATAGCGGTTACCCTGTTAAATAACAAGAGGCAGGGCTGGAAGATTCAGTCAACCTGACTACACTTCTAGATGTGAGCTTTTGGAATAAATAGTCTTCAGGATTAAGTCCACGCAGGTTGTAAGTGTTCTTTGCAAGTCTCATGAAATCCTCCTCTAACTGCAGTTTGTCTAAGTCACTGCTCCTTTTCTGATCAGGAGTTCATACCTGTACTTGTGCAGAGGTTAGGAGCTACGATAATTTTCGCTCCATAAGACACACTTTTTTCCTCCTGAAAAGTAAGGGGAAATGACTGTGCGTCTTATGGAGCGAATGTGTGGTCGATTGCTGGCTCCCTTTCTGGCCCCGCTCCCTTGCCCAGGCCTCCATTGTTGAATGTTCTGCATGTGACTGGCTGATTAGATTATCTGTCTGGAAACTGTAGAAACGGCTCCCTTTCCTTTCCTAAAGAAAGGAACTGTGAGTTGAACCCCATAAAAACAGGATTTTTTTCCCTTTGCAAAGTAAGCTCAACAACTTTGAGCTGATCCTAAAAAAAGGGGCTTTTCCCCTTTGCAAAAGAAGCTGCACAACTATGAGCTGATCCTCAACAAACCGGGGCTTTCCCCCTTTCCTCCTCTAAAAACGAAATGCGTCTTATGGTCAGGTGCATCTTATGGAGCGAAAAATACGGTACTTGAAAGCAGTGAGGCTGTTTACTTCTGCCAAAGCCCAGCAAAAAGTTAAGAGATGTGCCCCCACCAGCCTTGTATTTGGGACTGAGGCAGATCCTATGATTAAGAAACATGCTTGGAACTGCCAAACTTATTTGTGGGTCACTAAAAGTGGATCTTAAGACAGTGAAGGGCTGTGAATTTACAGCAGGTTGACTCAAGTAAGTTCATAATATTGTTAAGGCCTTTGCTCTGGTCATCTCAAAAAGGCTCAGGGCCTACAGAGTGACTCCTTTGATTAATCTTTACTATTAGTAGAGAAGAGGTTTCATAGCTATCTTTATCTGCCAAAGTAAAAATTACATCCGTATTCTAATTAAGCACACCAGTTAGCATATGATGTGCAGTATTTATCCTTTGGAAGTTTTCTTTAGAAAAAGGAAAGAGTGTTGCAAGGTCAGGACCAACATCCGTCCATTTGAGCACATGGTATACTATACAATAAGATGTTAATACTAAAAGTTGAATTTGAACCTTTGCTATCTAATGAAGTATACTTGGGGATTTTTTTCCAGTACCCCTCATATACATATATAAGTGATTATCATACCAAACTCCAGAAGAGGTATTGTCCTTTTAGGTTTTCGTTTCCTGGGTTCCCTCTGTTCAGGTGATATTACCCCATCGACTACAAAGCCACCTGAAATAACAATTAATTTTAGGAATCATTTCTCATAACCAGTTTAGATTATTTTTGTGGATGATGGAATAACAGGTGAACCACTAGCAGATTAGTTCTTATCAAGTCCAATGAAGAAAGCGGTCTCCCATTAGGATGTCTTAAAAGAAACACAGTTCACTACTAAGTGCCTATTCCCAGGATTCTATTTCACAATTCCTTGATCATACCTCTCAAACTGATATTGGGCAAGAAAAGAAGTTTATGGGGTGGTTTTCTGAATTTAAAATGGCTCCTGCTTGTGGCAAACTGAGCCCTGTCTGAGAATTCCACATTTGACACTCCTGTAGTCAGACTCCATTTTACTTTAATGTGTTAGTTTCCCATTCCAGCTCCCTTCTACAAATAAGAATTTTCTTCTTGAAGCAGGAGGCGCACAGATTTTTAATCATTACCGCCTCTCTTTTATGTTAGCTTTATTAGCTACAGCATTCATTTTTGATTACATTCACAATAATTTTGATTAAACACACAATCATCAAAGTAAAAATAATATTGACAACTGATAATGGAAATAAGATAAAATATGAACTATTACTCTTTGTAGGGACTACACAGACATGTTACCAAAACCTAAATTTCTAATTAAGCTGTACACTTTCTGATGTCTTTGGAATAAAATGAGATCTTGAAATTATGCTTGTGGGTTAAAAATATGTTCATAAATTCTGGCTTATCTAAAGAGTGAGAGTTGCATGCCTGCTGTTAACTCTCTCTTTACCAAGCTGAGAAGAAACAGCTTGAGACTTTATTCTTGTGCAGAAAGCTGTAGCGGCATTTTGTGTACTTGCCTGCTCAAGAGATATCTCCCAATATATTGGGAGGGTCAGGGCAATAGAACAAGTGTAAAAGTGGCCAGAGTTCAACATACCGTATTTTTCACTCTATAGGACACACCCGACTATAAGATGCACCTAGTTTTAGAGGGGGAAAACAAGAAAAAAATATTCTCTCCCTCTCTGCACAGCGCCCCTTCAGCGAAGCGGCAGGAGAAACAGAGCCCCTTCCATTTCTCCTCCCGCTTCGCTGAAGAGGCGCTGCGCAGAGAGGGAAAGCTATGCAGTGCCTCTCCAGTGAAGCGAAGCCAGGAGAGCAAGAGGGATCGGTGTGCACTGACCCCTCTTGGTCTCCTGGCTTCAGCGAAAGCAACACTAGCCTCTGGAGCGCAGCGGGAGCTCCCGCTGTGCTCCGGAGGCTTCCGCTGAAGCCATGGAGCCTGCATTCACTCCATAAGGCGCACACACATTTCCCCTTACTTTTTAGGAGGGGAAAAGTGTGTCTTAGAGAGCGAAAAATACGGTATTTAAAGAGCACTGGTATACATGCTGAAGAATGCTATAAAGCACTCAAAGTCCACGTGGTTTTCAAATGCAAGCAACATAAGAGGGACACTCAACAAAGGGGAAATAAAATAAGTGGTGCCCTTGCCATTTTCCAAATGTTGGAGGGCAAGTGTCTGCAGTGGGAAGCCTGATGTGATCCTGCAGGCTAAAAAGGTAAAGGACCTCTGGGCAGTTAAGTCCAGTCAAATTTGACTATGGGGTGCGGCACTCATCTCGCATTCAGGCTGAGGGGGTCATGTGGCAAGCATGACTAAACCGCTTCTGGTGCAACGGGACACCGTGACGAGTGCTACAGCGCACGGACACAGCGTTTACCTTCCCACTGCAGCGGTACCTATTTATCTACTCGCACTGGTATGCTTTTGAGTTGCTAGGTCGGCAGGAGCTGGAATCCCGTCATGTGGATTCGAACCGCCGACCTTCTGATCGGCAAGCCCAAGAGGCTCAGTGGTTTAGACCACAGTGCCACCTGCAGGTTACCACGCCACTTAAGAAGCCTCTATCACCAGGGTCCTAAATAACACAGAGAAACTACACGAGCCCTGCAGGCTCCCTGCTGCAGATAAGTCTGCCTTCCAATATGTGTATGGCAACAAGAATGGGCATGGTGAGGTAACAGAGGGGGCAGAGCTAAAAACATTCTCCACCGCCCTTCCTGACACAAGGGAAACCACTAATATATAGAGCTATAGAAATGAGAGAAAAAGAAGAAATTACAATGCCATGCATGGCAAAGTAAATATTTATTTTTTATACCGAGTTGACTTTTACTTTGAAAGCATTCCCACAACAACATAGGGCTGCATTGCATTTGCCACAACCAGATAACATATATGAGCTTTGTATAGAACCTCACACCTGAAGGTCTCATCTTGTATTTCACACGTTCTCCTCGCCAGTACTCCAATGGTTTAAGACGCATTCTTTTGGTCCGGCGAATATTGGGCGTGTTGGAAGGCAATACTAACGAACAAGACAGGTAATGAAAAGCAGATTTAGGTTGGGTAAAAACCCAGAAGCAGAACAAGAACACACATACAAGGATGAAAATAATGTTTGGACCTGCCACACACTTTATAATCCTGCAACTTAAAACAATAATAATAATAATAATAATAATAATAATAATAATAATAATAAATTTTATTTATATTCCGCCCTCCCCAGCCAAAGCCGGGCTCAGAGCGGCTAACATCAAATGTATAACACATTAACATAAAATCAGACAATCAATTAAAATACATCCTCAAATCAGATCAGGATCAGAATAAAATCCAATCAGATGGCAACCCGCAGATTAGGGTTGGGGACCTTAAATGCTCACCAGGCCCAACTGTTTGTGCTGAACTTATATGGGCCTGTGAGAAAAATTGGGAGGCCACTTCCATGCAAGTTCTTATGAAAGGGGAGAGGGAGTCAGACTGAACCGCGACCAAAGGCCTGGCAGAACAGCTCCGTCTTGCAGGCCCTGCGGAAAGATGTTAAGTCCCGCAGGGCCCTAGTCTCTTGTGACAGAGCGTTCCACCAGATCGGGGCCACAGCCAAAAAAGCCCTGGCTCTAGTTGAGGCCAGCCTAACCTCTCTGTGGCCTGGGACCTTCAGGATGTTTTTATTTGAAGACCGTAAGTTACTCTGTGGGACATACCAGGAGAGGCGGTCCCGTAGGTACGAGGGCCCTAGGCCGTATAGGGCTTTAAAGGTTAAAACCAGCACCTTAAACCTGATCCTGTACCCCACCGGGAGCCAGTGCAGCTGGAATAGCACCGGGTGAACGTGATCTTGCAGTGAGGACCCCGTAAGGAGTCTCGCCGCAGCATTCTGCACCCGCTGGAGTTTCTGGGTCAGACTCAAGGGCAGCCCCACGTAGAGCGAGTTACAGTTGCAGTGTTAGAAAATTATTATTTATTTTTATTCCTCCCTCCCCTCCACCCATGGAATTTGGATCAGTATATCTGCCTCCAGTCCCACTTTAAACATTGCAATAGGTTAGAGAGGCTGTGAGAGTCAAGGTCAGCTAGCAAACTTTATGAACAAACAGTTTAAACGATATCTGCACACTCAAAGGTCCAAAACTACAGCCACTACACAACTGTGGGGAGTATTCCTCCCACCCCATATTGTATTAACCGATTTTACAGAGTTCAGTAAGTATTTGCACTGTCCTCTCATGTATTCCTTAACGGTGATGAAGTGGGCCTAACTTTAAAAGAGCAGAGCCATCTAGAAGAAGGTGGCAGGTGGAAACATCTTCTCTGGCCCTTTGCCTGCAGAGAACTGACACCTCTCACCAATTCTGTCTCCTGACGACCTTTAGTCAGCATGCAGTGAGCTGCTGGTACTGACATTGGCCCAACCAAGGAAAGTGAGGCGGCATGAGGCAAGCTGTGGCACTGAGGCCAACCTGAAAGCAGTCTAAGGCCCACTGGTGGGTCCCAGCCCTGTGTGAGAAATAGGACACTAGGACAGTGTCCTCATGCTGTTTGACTAAGTGAACTGACACAGCAGCCATCACTGGCACCGATTCAGAATAAATGCATGCATGCATGCTCTCTCTCTCTATATATATATATCTCCCAAGTTCTAAGACTGGCAATAGGCCTTCTTAACATGCCATCTTGCAGACAGAGAGATCAGTGTTCATTTGATGCAGTCTTCATTTAAAAAGAAAGAAAGAAATCTTACTCATTTTGCGCTTCAGTGCATTTAAATAAGTTACACCTTCCTCCTCTTCCAAGTCTTCAGATTCATCTAAATAGTAAAATACAAATGAATTCGTATTTTTAATATCCCACCCTCCCTCCAATCAGCAGAGGGCTAACACAAATGATCTGAAAGAACCACAGAACAATAAAATCATAATCAAAACCACAACAGAACACAGTAAAATCAGTCAGTTTTACCTCCCAGCTTTGAGCCATCCACTGGAGTAGAATTTCTACCCTTTTATTACTGATGAAAATATTAAAGAGTAGCAGGCTCAGAACAGAGCCCTGTAGGAACCATTGGTGAGCACAGTTTGACTCATTTTCCAACCAACTGTGGATCTACCTGATCTTCTGGTCCATCTTTAACCAGTGTGCTAACAACATGTTGGCAGTTTGCCACCACTGATTTACATATTTTTCTACATGGGGGTAGTCAATGTGGTGCTCTCCATATGTCCTTGAGTTACGGCTCCCATTGGTCCCAGACAGTAATTTTTGTATAACATTGGAAGAGGACCTGATCAGCCCCACTTGCTCTACATGATGCCCTGGGTTTCAATGACCGACTCATTCATAGGGGCACCAAAATGATATGAGTACTTTTCAGTGTGTTATAGCCTTGATATTTGGCACATGTTTAATCCAAGAGGTCCAGATTATTGGAAAATAGATTGTTTTAAAGAGGGTGTCATGGTTAAAAGTTCTTCCACAAACTCCCCAAAAGCTGGGACTTGGCATACATTTAGCCCAAGTCACACTGACTGCAAGAAAACACTGGAAGTTGGAAAACTTTGTACTGAATGCTCAAAGGAGAGGCTAATGTTTACCTCACAATGAAGGCCAGCACAAAGCAAGCAAAGCCAAACATGAAACACAATGTTAGGGCTGTGGTAGTTCAATTGCCTCTTCAGGATTAGGCCTGTGACTGCTTCATCAAGGAACAAGCAGTTATTGCTTGAAGGACACAAGCGCCATTTACTGGCACAGAATACATACATGTATGTGTCTGTTTACAATTACATACACAGATGTACAGCAAAAGGAACTCAAAGAGCAAAGCAGACCAATCAATAAGCCATACCTGATGTTGAATCCTCCCTGTTAACAGCAATCTGATGTTTTGAAGAAGTTTTAATTTTAGAAACAGGGCCACTTAAAAGAAAAGAACAATGGTAAAATCCTTAGAGAGCAAAAAATCAAAACAATTTATCCATGCAAATTAAAAGTACCATACTAAAAGAAACTGTATGTAGAAACAAGAAGCGTTTCATAGAAAAAAGGTGACAGGCAACGAGAAATGGTTAACTTATCAAGAACTATTAGAGTGGACTCAAGGGTTTCTTGTATTTAACTTTCCCCTAGGTTCAATTCTACTGCTTTTCATAACCTTAAACATGGCCTAAGGCATCAAGGATGAACTGCAGGACTGAAACTCTGATTTGGATATGGTTATAAAATTCTAGGTTAGGAGCAAAGGAAGAAACACAACCCATGTACTACACGCCATCAACTGCAGCAAGAACATATAGTGGGCTCTATTGAATAAAGAACATATAGTGGGCTCTATTGAATAAAGCCAGGACCGGCCCCCCTCCAAGAAAACCCCTACGTGACCACCCTCACTTGTCTGAAGCTGGCCTTGCCCTCCACCTTGCTTACCAGATTCACTCCCAGAGCCCTTGCGCCACCTTCCCAAAGCCAGGTAAGAAAGGTAACACTTTTTTTACTGGCCTCTAGGAAGGAGGCACGAAGGCTCTGCGAGCGTCCCAGAACCCAGTAAGTGAGGCAAAGGACTTAAAAGCTCTTTCTGTGGCAGGTTCCACCACCCTCACCCTCCCAATTTATTTATTTTATTCATTTTTGGGCCATGCACCTAAGGTCACGATTGATTAGTAAATTGTGCTTAAGTGAAGGGCCCATTCTATTGATTTAATATTTATACACCCCCGGAGTCAAATTAACATGCAACATAAATGGATGAAAGCACTTACTGCAAGGAACGCATATTGTTGTTTTTTCGTTCCATAGAAGTATTTAATATTTTTTCTGCCACATACTGTTCAGAATAATCCTCTTGGTAGAAGGCAATTCCACTTTCTTGAGCACTTGCTGAGGAAGTCGGTTTTAATTCCCGTGGCAACGTCTTCCTTGGTTCGCTTATTGGTTCACAGGGGCTTCCACCCCCTTCAGAACTCTCGTTTTCTGAGATCTGCTCTGAAACAGGCACCCTCTTACTTCCTCCAGTGGCTTCACCCTCTTCACCACACTGTTCTTCTCCTCCATGCTCGCTTTCAGAGCTATCACTCGAAACCAGCACCTTATTTTTCCTTCTAGGTCTTTTAACAATACTCATTGGGGTTTCCAAATCTTTTTGAGACAGCGTTCTTTTAGGCTTTCGCCTCTTAGCTGATTTGCTGCGTGACAACCTTTGGGCTGTATGTGTAATGGACTGCTTGCGCTTTGATAATTTTTTCCCAAAAAAAGGAGCAGGATCCTCAGCATCTATAGACTTTTGACGCCCCTGTGGGGACACAGCTGTAGGTGTGCATTCTTGCCTAAAATCTTTGTGAATTTCTACCGATGGCTTCCTTTTTGAATGTATTTGTTTCACAGGTTTTTTACTGGAAGGTAATTGCTCACCTGTACGTATCACAGACGATGGCGCTTTCAAAACATCATGGCCTGAAGAGTGAATCCGTTCTGAGTGCACCTCTACAGGACTTGCAGAATCCTGGCAGCCTTCATCACGCGATACCACCAAAGGCTTAACTTTTGAGCAGCTCTGCTTCATAGATCGCTTACACTGGGATGACTTCTGGGCTGTACTTACGATGGCCTGTGGCTGCAATGAAAAATCGTGGTCCTGCTCCTGTAAAAACAGAAGGTCCCTTGCGTGGCTTCTACTTGCAGACACCTGGCAATCCTCATTGCATATACCGACTGATGGCTCACCTTTGGAAGGTGTTTGCTTTCTTACTTGTTGGATGGTATTTACAGTTAGCGGCAAGCGGCCACCTTCCACAGCGATTCTTTCATTAGTCCTTGAAACATGCTGCATTCCGTTAACAGTTCTTTCAGCAGCATTAATTAACTTCGGTTTGCTTTGCTTTATTGGCGCTGGTGTAACAAGATTCTCTGATGTCCTTTTATTTTGTCTTCTGACACTCTGCTGCTTAGCTCTTTTTTTCCCTTCAGACGATGCAGCTATTAAGTTGACTTTCTGTTGCTTTTTGTTCCTTGGGGATGTTGAAATCCAGGATGTAGAACTCAATCCAAATGATTCCTCTATAACAAACTCACACTCGTCTTCTGGCTCTATACTGGCTGTATTTCTAGGAAGGAAAGGTAGGTGCTTGATTGCTTACATATCACCAACAGCAAGAAAGAAAGAAAGCAAAACAACCCCATATACCCCAAACGTTATTCTCAGAGATGCTTCTGTTTTGAGAATACACCCAGATATTTTCCAAATCAGTAACCATTTCATGTTTTATTATTCTAAGTAAACTTCAAAAGGTTTAGGTCCACAAATCAGGTACCCTGGCTTCTGATCTGCTTCAAGTTTTAAAAAGTTTCTGCATATATATATATATATATATACATATATATATATATATATATATATATATATATATATATATATATATATATATATATATATATATATATATCCCAATAATTAATATTAAAAACAACATTGAGGGCCTGATAGTAACAGGAAAACTCAACAGCTTCCACTGCTAAAGAATACCAAAGGACTTCTCCCACTATTGATCAGAAAAATACAATCCCTCAGGCAATTTGGAAATGTTTAACATAATGAGATTCCTTAAGGAAAGAAAAACATAGGTTCTTTATCAGAAAGTGTTGGTCTTTGAGCGGTCCTCTGTGCAGCTGCGTAGTGGGATCTTGTGCCAGCATAGAGTATCATCTCTTAACTTCCTAGAGCTAAAACTGGGAGGAGGTGTTCAGTTCAGCTATATAGATAAGCAACTTGTCATCTTTAGGGTCTCTGTGGAAATGGAAATCTTATGTGGAAATGGATACAGGAATTAAAATGAGAATAAGCTGCAAAGGTTAGCTCTACAAAATACAAATTTGGTTGCTCTACAGAGTTTGAGGTGGGAGTGCGAGAGTACAGTACTGGATACAACCCTGATAGAATTACTTCAAATTGTTTCAGGTGGTATTTAGTTGGCTATTAAGTAGCACAGTGTGATCTGGACAGCTTCCGAGATGAAACTCTGGGGCATAATCTGAGGTCCATAATCTCAGACAAAAAGATGATGGTCTAAGTGGCAAGAGGAGTCCCTGGTTTGTGCACGTTCCCATATTCATGCCTGCACAGAGACCTGACAGAAAAACTGCCATCATATCCCTCTCCCAAAGAATCTACACATTGCCAGACCTCTCCCCTAGAGAAAGGGAAGTTACAGAAGATCTCTGCACCATACCGGGGCCAGACCACTGTTGTATTAATACCATATGTTGTTACTCATTCTTCTAACGTCAGAAAGCCCCTACTTTTGCGGTATTCTTTCTTTCTTAATCAGACCTTTTTATTGTCCCAGGTGCTGCTGATGCCAATAAGAGCCTGCAGACAGGAGATCCAATATACTTTTGTTTATGCAATTAAACAAAGCGCACAAACATCTCCAAAAAAGGGAAGGAAAATGCCAGCCATGAGGATTTCTTATTATTATTTTGTTTATAAACTCAATAAAGATTTTTTTAAAAAAAATGGTCTTGGCACAAAGACAGCGGATTTTTTACAAAAGATAATATTAAATAATACAAAGATATTATCAAAACCACACAGATTATTACTGGACTGGAACCTTAAGGACTAGGAGGTGAAGGTGAAAATGGGCACACAATTGTGGCTATCCAATCAAGATGAAAAATGGGGGAAATTATGGGAAAAGACTTAAAATTCACCACGTGTTAACTGATTTTTAGATGGTACCTGACCCCATCCAAATCAGCCAAAATAAATAAATAAATAAATATCAGCAATAAGCGCTGAGGATGCAGACAAAATGAGGGAACCTTATTCCACATGTGGTGGACATGTCCCCTAAGGGAAGATAAAAGAAACAATAAAATAAATAAATACCAAGCTAGCGCCAGATGTCTTGCTCTGCTTTCCTTTGAATCACATTAAGGAGGCCGGGGGGGGGGGGGGCGGGTTGGGTCTTGTTGTTTGGGTAGCATACACAATGTCCTGGCTTGTGCCCCAGGGACATCACTTCACTCCTGTTAACTCAGTGATTTAACTTCACCCCCAGAGGCACACTCCATTGTTTCCCGAGACAGATGGATGCCAACATAATTCGGTGGCTATGTTTCAAATTACAAATGCTCAAACACCTTACACAAAACTAAAATACAGTGATATTATGCTTCCAGTACAAAACTTATCTCACCGTTCTTTAGAAGATCTTGTCATGGCATCTAATGATGCTACAGACTCTGCTATTTTCTTTTGACAGGAAGAGATAGCAAAACATGCTGAGAGCTCCTTTGTTTCTTTCCTTGCATGATGCTCCTCAGATTTTCTAGCATCTATGCTGCTCTGTAAATCTTTATCACGTGCTTCTTCATGCCACCTTGGGCTCCTTTGGGAGGAAAGGTAGGATATAAATCCAATAAATAAAAATAAAGATGCAACCAATTTTGGGGGGTGAATTAAGCCACACTGATATTTTGGTTTTCCAGGTTTATCTCAATACCCTGAAACAACCTCTGAAACCCAGTGTACCATTACAGGCAAAACCAAGTCCTTCTTCCAAGCCAGTCCAAACATGTATGCCTTCAATTATACTATAGAAGTTGGCCATTTGTTTACTCGTCAGTGTGATGTTAAGTGGGAACATAAATATTGCTGCACAATATTTCACTTTCATCAGAACTCACATTTCCGTATGAGATTTCTCTTTGTCCTCATTCAGGAAAGCAGGTATTCCGAACATCACCGGGACATCCTCATCTATGGAATCCACATGCTCACTGCTTGGTGTTTCAGCACCTTTTAACGTTGCCGCATCTGTTTTAATGGTGGAACAAACCAAACAGAATAGTGATAACTGTTACTATTTCTGACCTAAGAACTATTTTTATTCCACACTATTATCAGCCAAACATTGCCTGCCCAGACATTTTTCATTATTGATTTTTAAAGGATGTTCATTGAGACTACATTTTTTTTAAAATGGATTTGTATTCTCCTGCTCTCCTCCAAGAGAACAGTGTATATTGAAACATATTGAAAAGCTAAAGCTGCAATGATGATTAAAACTATCTCACTTAACCAAAAGTATACCACTGATTATTCACACCTTCCCACTGCCTTTTGAGGGGGGCGGGTGCTTCAGAAGGACAAAAGGTTCATCTTATTTCAAAACATCACTGAGGCTTCTGCATGCCCTGAAGTGACAAGCTGATGCTCTTGACAGATGAGTTCTGTCATCTTTTGAGTGGTGGGTGGTATAGTCTCTGCACTATGAGAAAGAGGAAGGAGGATGCCCGAGCTGGTGGGACTTTGAATAGCCAAATAGGCAATGGGGGAGCAACTAGGGGGTTACTGTTTAGATCAAGTGAAGTTACAGTGGGGTGAAAGGCGCTGCACCTAGCTGGCCACATCTGAGAACAGGTTACATTTTTTTTCCTTTCCAGGAAAATATGCCTCAAGTAATCAGAAGTAGCTACAGTGGTAGCTTGGTTCTCGAACTTCATCCCTTCCAGGAGTCCATTTAACTCCTGAAACTGTTCGCAAACCAAGGCGCGGCTTCCAATTGGCTGCAGGAGCTTCCTGCACTCAAGCGGAAGCTGCGTCGAAAAACGTTCGCAAACCGGAACACTTACTTCCGGGTTTGCGCCGTTCGGGAGCTATTTTGTTTGACAACTAAGCCGTTCGAGAACCAAGGTACCACTGCATTTTGTTTTGTTTTCCAATTAAGTTTGGAATATTTCAATAAAGATTTTCTATCAAGAGGGCTTGAGGGCATGTTATATTTCATTTTTAATATAATGCAAAGATAAAATATCTATACAAATCTCAGACTAGAAACAGATAGGCCAACATCAATAGAAACCGAAAAAGAAGCAGCAGTGAAGAAAGACCTGTCTCTTGCAGTGAGCCACCTAACCTCCAAATGTGGCAGGCCCCCCGATCATCACCTCAGACAGATTCCAGGTTTATACAGGAAAGGATGGACCTTCTGATATAGATGCTCAGACTTCAGGTGAACAAAGGCTATTTCGTAGTTATAGGGTAACTCAGTTCACACATGGCCCCTATGTAAGCTGTATAATGAACAGCTGAAGGATTTCCAAAATCCCACACACATACAGAATAAGGTATTTAGTGTGAACTGCAACTTCAAACCTGCACATTTGTACTCAAGTGGGCTATTCTGTTCAATCTGTCCTCCACCTGCCGCCCCCATGCCTTTTTGAAAAGCAAAATTTCATGTGGTTTCTATGTGCTCCATTTCCATTTAGTTCTGTTCTTTAGCTCCCCTCCCACCTCCTTGCCCCTAGAAATTTTGGACTGAAATGTGCTACCCCTACATTTTTTTATAATAAAACTCACCTCTCTTCCCCTTCCCTCACTTCTTACATGGGGAATGGAAACAAAGCAGAGATCGGAACTGCTACATTCACTTTTCAAATTATCTGGAAATGATCTATGTTTAATTTCAATTTTTTTGTACTTCAATATGTTTTGGTGGCATTAACGTACAAAAGACCGATGTTTTAATATCCTCACCCAAATGACTACCAGATGAAAAATCATGCTGCCCACCTGAAATCCTGTCATTTTCTTCTTCTGATGGTAAGATGTTGGTATTAAATACATTCTGCACATAGTTAATCTTATTTGGTTCTGGCTCTATCTGTTCTTCCTGACAATCAAAAGGGCAACATAATAGAAAAATACACTGTTAATAAACACAATAAAAACAAGCTTCACAAATAAAATGTTGTTTCTGAGATTTGGGCTGCCTAAATCATGCTGGCTATCTTATACAATATCAATCTTAATGCAGGAGAAAACACACACAGTGTGAACATCCATGTTGAGGCTACACTGTTGTGACCAGCTCAAGGAGCTCATGGCTCCTGCAGTAATCATGGAGCTGTTCCAATCTTTCATGAGTCTAACGCACGTGGTAAGTTACGGAGGTAGTAGAGATCACTAGCAAGAGCACCTTCTGAGTTGTGGATCTCCAAAAGAGTCACCTATTGCCACATTTCTTATCTTTTTTGTGTCAGGCATAGCGCACACACACATATCATAAGTCGCAATATATTGCCAGGTCAAAAATTGTGAAACCAAAATCATGATAGGTCAACGGTTCACCCACAGTTTTGTCTGAATTCAGCTTCAGTTTATTAAAGGTAAAGTGAACCCTGACCATTAGGTCCAGTCATGACCGACTCTGGGGTTGCGGTGCTCATCTCGCTTTACTGGCCGAGGGAGCCGGCATACAGCTTCCAGGTCATGTGGCCAGCATGACTAAGCCGCTTCTGGCGAACCAGAGCAGTGCACAGAAACGCCGTTTACCTTCCAACCGGAGTGGTACCTATTTACCTACTTGCACTTTGACGTGCTTTCGAACCGCTACGTTGGCAGGAGCAGGGACCGAGCAACGGGAGCTCACCCCGTCGCAGGGATCTGAACCGCTGACCTTCTGATCGGCAAGTCCTAGACTCTGTGGTTTAACCCACAGCGCCAGCACCCATTAAAGATGTTACAAATCCAACAGAGCAGAACAGCAGCTAGGATTTTCTTTTCAAGGCAGCAGTGGCTCTGGTCTGCAGATCACTTTTCCCTCAGATTAGCTCATATGGGCTCTTAGATTATCTTATATGGGCTGAAGGGGGAAATGTTATCAAATAAACCACCAATAACACCATGTCCATGTCTGAGTAACATGGGTTAACAAAGAAAAAGAAAATTTTAAACCAGCAGCATAACAGAAGTGTCACTTTTTCAATCTAATCAACTTCAGCTGACCAAACGTGACTGGATATGTTAAATGACATAACATGCATGGATACATGGACAATCACAAAAAAGTCATATTAAAAAGAGAAACAACTTACCTTTCTCCCATGAGATAGAGTTTGACTGAAGTCTGAGCAAGGGGATGAGCAACATGATATGCTTGGGGAGCATACTGTATTTTCCTCTGCACAAGCTAAAGAGATTGGGGGGGGGGGGAATGGTTAAGTAGAAAAATCTAGTAGTACCTGCTCGTTGGTTCTTTTAACTAGAAAGGGCACAAATATCCTAAGTCAAAATGCCATTTTTGAGGGATTCAAAATTGTGTTTGCCAACCTGCCAGGAGTGGAAAATATAACGAGTAAGATTCCTCAAGAGGAATACGACTGTGTGGCATGAAGCTTGTGGGACAATTCTACACAGAGCTCAGCAAGCCCCCCCGATTTAATGGGTTTGGGTACATCTCATTCTCCCTAGGACTGGGCTCTTAGCACAGCAGCAGGGAGCAGCTTTTTACAGACTATGAATTAGTTGATGACATGATAAATCATGGGTAATTAAAAGCAAGAGCTTCCAAATTTATTTTTCTGGCCATGCTGAAAGAGGGGGAAGGAAGCATATGAGTCCATGAGAACACACTTATTCATGTTTCTCTAAGCCATAGCTTACTGTGACATCTGAACAATAGTAGTAGAACCTTAACAAGTATCAGAGAGAAACTGATCTAGAAAGCTTAGAGACACTCCCAATTCATGTCTTCCTACACCACTACAAGTACATCCTCTTTTGCCTTTGGTTATGCAGGCAACAGCTGTTTCAGGCACACCCAATTGATGTGTGCATCATGCCAACGCTGGAAGTGGCCAGAAAAGGGGTGTAATAGGGGCGTAGTGGGCTTACATGCACTCTGCCGACACATGTGAGGATCAGGAACACAAACCCCACTCAAAACGTTCACTACCTGTATTTAATTTAGCATGTAAGATTTGTTTATTTTTTTAACGAACCAAGTGAGTTGTCTGAGATTGCTTACATACTGCAATCTTTAAGGCACCATAAATCTTATTCTTTCTTGGAAATGTGGAATTCTTTTTCACTTTTGTCGCACATGGGCAGGAATTTAAAGTAGCCCTTTAAAACAGCCCTTTGAAAACAGCTTTAAAAACACAGTGCATGTATACGTTTTGGTACAAAAAAGATGTGAAGAATTTGTGGATTTGGCCCGTGGTTCTGACTACAGAATCTGATAGGTTCAGAAACTGTGGCATTACAGCTCACAAGAAAATAATGGTTCACTACCAATCCCATCCACAATTTGTGGAATCATGATCAAACTATTTTTTTCAGAACAGTTCACATATTGCATACTGCATTGTAAACGATTCACAAAATAGGTAACTTACATGTAAAGCAGTCTTGTATATATTTCAATACATTTTCTCCTTGCTGTATATCAGGAACTTTATTTGGACTGGCAGGGGGGAAAGACAAATGATATGAATGACTTCAAAAATTATTCCAACCTGCAAATATTGCCTTCTCAGCATATTGATAATGCTGCATTATACAAAGCAGTCAAACAACAGTGATTTGATTTCATGATGGGATATGCAATGATTGAACTCTATTTGAAAAGTGGTTTACTATTCATTAGGAGTGGGGATATGTTCAAGAAACATAAGCTCAATCATCAAATTTCTTAGGTGTGTGGAATTAGTAGCACAGTTCTTTTGATCCCGGCTGATATGAAATACTGACATATGAGGCACACTTAACTATTGGAAATCCACATTTTTGGCTGCTTCAGAATAATAGAAGTTTAATAAACAAAAGTTAATTACCCTTGTTTGTTGCAGTATCTTGCTCTGTAGTTATCTTTTAAGTGATTCTGATGACAAAAAAGAAATAATTCTTATGAATATGCTTCTTGAAAATGACAATATTTATTGCAGTAATCATATGCCACGAAGCTATACAAAACATAATCAAGGCAACTCAAGGCTGCACACAAACAGCAGAAGTTTGAATAATCATAGTGAAGGAAGAGCCAGCTTTAATAGAAGTAAAATTATACATTCAGTAATGAACAGTTTGAAAAAGCTGTCCTGTATTTGAAGAGTGATAGGACCTGACTTGCCGTTAGGCAGAGTAAGGCAGCTGCCTCTGGCAGCTAGAGTGTCATGAAAAGGCAGCAAGTTGTTATTTCTTTAATTATTGTTGTATTTTCACTTCACGGGAGAAGGGAGGCACTTGTGGGATGTTCTACGTCAGGTGCCAGAATAACTTGACTGACCTAGAGTACTAAATATATTGTCTCGGGGATGAGCTTTTTATTTCTTGCTCTGCCTTGGGCAGAAAAATGTTTTATAATCTATACTAAATCAGCTGGTATACTTTCAATTGATGGTAAATCTTCTAAGACATTTAATCTGGCAAGCAAAACCAGGTACAGTGGTGCCTCGCAAGACGAAATTAATCCGTTCCGCGAGTGTCTTCGTCTAGCGGTTTTTTCGTCTTGCGAAGCAACCCTATTAGCGGATTAGCAGATTAGCACTATTAGCGGTTTAGTGGCTATTAAAGGCTTATCGGCTTAGCGGTTTAGCTGCTAAAAGGCTATTAAAGGCTTAGCGGCTTAGAAAAAGGGGGGGGGGAGCGAAAAAAAATCTCAAGACTTGCAAGACATTTTCGTCTTGCGAAGCAAGCCCATAGGGAAATTCGTCCTGCGAAGCAACTCAAAAACGGAAAACCCTTTCGTCTAGCGGGTTTTCCGTCTTGCGAGGCATTCGTCTTGCGGGGCACCACTGTATATTGTCTCGGGGATGAGCTTTTTATTTCTTGCTCTGCCTTGGGCAGAAAAATGTTTTATAATCTATACTAAATCAGCTGGTATACTTTCAATCGATGGTAAATCTTCTAAGACATTTAATCTGGCAAGCAAAACCAGGTATGGATGTCTGCTATCCATTTTATTATATATTATGAGACTGGAACTTCAGGATGAGGCAACACAACGTAGTCAAAAGAATACAAACTCTCAGAAGTGGGCATCATCCTCTATGCGGATGAGGTGGGTTGTTACATCTCCGACGTAAATATTTCAGGAGAAAAATCAGATGAGTCAGTAAATGAACACAGAGCTTTTTCCAGATGCACCTTGGATTTAGTACCAGATCTAGTACAAATTTACTAAATAATGACTTCCACACACACCACGAAACTGATACTAAAAGTCTATGACATTACTACCACTACTAAACCTTTTCGTTATACTGTTGAACATTTTGTCAATAATTTTTGTCAATAATTGTAACCGTCGCATGGACACTTGCTATTTTATGCTGAGTGTCCATATTGGTGGTTGTTTTTAAAAATGTAAACACGACCAAAATTCACGTTTGTTCCCTTTTTAAAGAGCTTTACTGCAACTAAATCTGCTCAGGTCGC